CTTCTTGCCTTTTTTAAATGTAGGGAGTAGAAAGTACAGATACTTGTGTAAAAATGTAAAAAGTAGAAGTAAAAAGTAGGCTGAAAAATAATTACTCAAGTAAAGTACAGATACCAAAAATTCTACTTAAGTACAGTAACAAAGTATTTGTACTTAGTTACTTTACAACTCTGGTCACGTCTCTGTCTGTCTGTCTGTGGACAAAATTACTCAACAACTTACGGATGGATTTTCATGAATTTTTTACCACAGGTGGCCAAAGGAACAGACCATTAAATTTTGCTGATTAGCTGGATCACGATCCGGATCCAGGAACTTTTTGAAGGAGTCTTCACTATTGCATGATAGGGGAACTTGGCCTTGGCGGAGGTTTGACCTCTCCGATTGCTTCTAGTTTAACAGTATGTGTCTCTGAGACCGAGGGGGTTCTGAGTGGCAGCTGCCACTGGAAAACATATTTTGTCGCCTGAGTTGTCACCTGTTGTCAGCATTTGTAGGCCTGTTAATGCTGTTTATTCTTGTGCTCACATCCCTCTTGAATTTCAAAATAATCTTACTCACCAACCAAACCTGGAAATTTAAACCAGATGTGATTTCAAAAGTCCCCAAATAAAAAAGTGGACACTGAAAGTCTACTGTTTCCTTTTTCTTTCTTTCTTTTTTTTGCCACTTCAAAAGAAAGCAGAACTGAATATCTGAATATTAGTATCTTAGCTTCTTCATCATCAGTGGCTTTTTTTAATAGGAGAAAAAGAAAGATGTAGAGGTAACCCTGGTGAAAAAAAACTTTTCCATTGTTTTTTCCTTTGTCTTTGATTTTATTTTTTACACTTATAAGAAGAAAATCATTTTAAAGTGTTTTTATTTTCTTTAAGTGAATAGAACAACAGGTTCTATATGTTATCTCATTTAATCTTCTATTAGAGGTTTCAATCAATATAGTCAAAGTTTTATTGATTTAATCTTTGCARATCTCTCTTTATTTTAGAGTGTAACAGTGAAAAGAAAATGAGTGAAATGTGCTTTAATGTTTTTTTCTTAGTACTGGTATTAATAATGGTTTTATCATTTTCTTAATTGATTTAATGATCAATTATGGTACTATTAATTTCATTATTAATCCATTTGTGCAGTGGTGTGATTTTTGAGACAGAAAGAAAGCTGCCTTTGCAGCCAAGGTCTTTTACTGATAAGTGCACAGCTGGCCGAAGAGCGAGTCTGAGAAAACCACCTTGTTTTCTTTCTCACCCTCCTAGCCTTTCCCTCTCAAGAAACTAACTTTTTCTGTTCAGAACANACTTTATTTTGAGAAATCTGTTCAGGCCACAAGTTCTTTTCACATTCATGACCAGAGGGGTATTTCATAATTTCCTGATTTCCTTCTGCAAGATCTGGCTGGATTATTTTATGAACTTTAGGCTGGCTCTAATCTTCATAGAGTAATTCTTACAAAGAGAAAGAAAAAAGTGAAATGTAATGAGAAAGAGTGAAAGAGAGATAAGAAGATATGTGAAATATATGTTGAGAAAACACAAGACAGCACACAGACTTCTTGGCTCCACACCTTCAAAAACAAAGATAACAAAACCACAGCAACAAAAATGCTTATCTATGTAATTATAATGACTATAACCTTGCTGAAAACCATACCCATATGCATATATAAATTCATACATATACACATAAACATACCCATACCTACATATCCATACACTTTCATATATGTATACACATACACATACATACATCCATACATACTCATATGCACATACCATTCAGTCAGTGCCCGAATAGAAAACCCAGGATGTAAACACCTGTTTGTGTGCAGTTGTGAGCATGCATGTTTATACGAGATCTCTCCAATGGAATGTTTCAAAGTGACTGTGGGGGACCACAGACCTGACCCACAAAGCTGGAAGCCGACATAAAAAAAAGACTACTGGTTCCACCCAGGTAAAATCTATCCATAATTACAAAATAAAAGATCCAAAAAATTTTGCCACCCAAAGAAAAAAAAAATCTCAGAACTCAGGCATGGGTATTATGTCACTCAACCAAACTGTGTTCCAGCAGCATTTTAGAAAGCCAGTAGGGTTTACCGTCTGTTTTGTTCAGGAACCAGATTAACTCAAATTAACTGAAGAAGTTAATGCATTTCATGCATTCAGACACATTTCCTTCTTACCATTACTGCAGAGTTATTATCATATCAGAGGTCTTATCATATTATATTTCCATGTGCTCTATTGTGTTTTTATCAAGTTAACCATCAGTTATAATGTAGTTATTTGGTAGATATTTGCAAAATGGTGGATTTAAAAAAAATTATGTCATTTACATTTTTGAGAGAGAAGATTTCTGTCACACTGTCTCCAGTCAGTAATTTATTCATGAACGGATCGTATCAGAGATAAAAAGGAGCTCATCCTGTTGCCTCGAGTGAGTTAAGATCAAAGATCTCTGCAAAACTGAGCCAAAACAATGCTTATCAGGCATCTGTTTTTAAGATCTTAATTAGTTTTATTGTTTGGTTCATTGTAGAAGGAGGGCTTCAGTTTTGTAGTTCAGAGTAAAAATAATTTTGACCATTGTTATAGGGAATTGTTAAAGCAGTTTAACAATGATAATTAAATATCAAGCAAATGATTGTTTACAATCAGAATTTCTCTTTTGTTCTGACTATCAACACGTAAAAACTTTCTATGAAACGCTGTTTTATGAAAAGACTACCATTTCTGTGTCATTGACGGGGGTCAGGTTGAATTCACAGAGGGGGATGAAGAAACTCTCCAACTGACCAATCAGCAGCAGCAGAATCACTCCATCAGAAAACTGGACAGAAAAGACAGCGAAGTTTAAAAGATGTTAACAGAAGGTGAGAAAATACAGGAGAGTGTTGAGTCTGTACCTGTTTGTCCATGTCAGTCACCTGCACACCCAGGGTCACCAAGTTCTGGTTCACAAAGTGTAAGATGGCCTGAAAGTGTCACAGTCTGGTTAGAAAATGGATTATTTTGAAGTAGTGCCATAAATAAGTTTATATTATAGCAAAGATATCAAATGATAAAACTGAAAATTGCATGAAAATGACATAATAACCCTGGATCCACTAAGTCACTAGAGTTCAGTCCTGAAGAGGGCTTTAATCCTTGTTGTCAGATCTAATGTCAGCACATCCAGAAGCTGTAAGAAGCTGCTGTCAAACCTGAAGCTGGAGGCAAAGTCTGGGTTCTGAGATATTTATTTCTGCAGCAAAACATGCCAATCCTTATTGTCATTCCTAATACATTTTTAAGGTAAGAAAAACATTGGTTGCATTTTAGAAACATTATTGACTTTTTCTTTTAAAACAGATCTTTTTGTTTGGGGAAAAAATCTGTAATCTTGGATTATTCACTGTTAGATTTATTGCAAGAAAAGCAGTTTGTCACAGACTCTGAAGGTGTCTTTGAAAGATTTTTTTCATAAAATAAAATGGCTAAACTTGAAATAAAGTGTGAGAGAATAATCATCAAATGCTATATTCTTGCCCATCTTAAACAAATTTACAACCCAAAGGCTCCAACTCATGAGGGGCACCGAAAGAAGAGCACCTCACTGTCTCATGTTAAAACACAGCTTAATGTCTCAGCAGCTGCTGTCAGACGGTCTCGAAGACAGAAAAATATACATTAGAACACAGCCATGAATTCATCTATCTGTCTATCTGTCTATCTGTCTATCTATCTATCTATCTAGCTATGGAGAGAGAGAGAGAGAGAGAGAGAGAGAGAGAGAGAGAGAGAGAGAGAGAGAGAACCTACAGACTGGTGCTAACATGTTTAGTCCCAGTCCCAGCAGGATGCCCCGCCTGTCTCCAGAGAGCCGTCTGCAGCCAGCATGAGAATAATCCAGTGCATAATGCAAAAAATATTTGTGAGTTTCTCATGAAACACGTTCAAACAATAACTGGGTCGTTTATTTGATCTGAGACAAATTCAGTAGATTACTAATGTGATGTAGTCTCCTAAACATTACACCAACATTCTTTGAAACGATGCACATCATCGTTGCTGTGCATGCCAACATTTCAAACAAAGATCTTAGATTCTTAGAATCTAAGAGCTGCTGTAAGCAGTGCTTTTTAAGTTAAAATATTTTTTCTGCTGGTTTCCCTTCTGTTTGGGACAAAGTACTTTTGTGCTTCTTTTCAATGGGAACTAAGAAACAGTATAGTTCAATTTAATTCACTTAATTTACTCAGGACAGTGTGTAATTAAAACAAATGTAAAACAAAGTGATGCATTGCACCAGAGTTAGCTTTAAGCTCATTAACATCAATGAAACAAATAATTAGATGTGTAACAATTAAAACCATACTCATCCTCCACTCTATTATGAAAAGATTGTTTTGTCTTGTTTTTTTATGGGACAGTTCCTATTGAACCTGTTTTTCCTATTGAACCGGGAGGATCAAACACATATTTATTTACCATATGTGTGCTTTATCTCTATAAATCTTTCTCTCTCAACAGTGTTGACACTTAAACAAGCTCAGCATGCCTCCTCCTTTTCCCTACCTTCTTCACCGTGTTGACCTTGTTAGCCTCGAGCTTCAGAAGCTGCTCGATGGGATCCTCCCCTGGGTGACGAGCCCGTCAGAAAAATGTGTTAGTGTGCTTTAATCACGTTTGGATGACATTCAATATGTCACTCCGGTTCAGCTTCTGACCACTTTAACTTACTTTCAGCACCGCTGGAGGAGCCGGAGGCTGCACAGCTGCAGAGGAACCCACAGAGTGTGAGGTGACTGCATGGTTTTTATATTCACAGGATCACATGAGAGAAGACAAACACACACCTGTCCTCTGTCAGGGCTTCAGTCTGCACTTCTGATTTTATTCCATTTTTGCTGACCTGCGTAAAAAAACTAAAGTCAGACACTGGTTTTGCATGGATTCTTTACACATGGTGTCTGAGACAGATCTGAGGCCCTGCAGGATTCTGCATCTCTGACTCACTTCCACGACCACGACTTCCACCGTCACATTCGGCGGCAGGTTTAGTTCAGGCTGGAAAGCTTTGGCCATGGCAACCAGCAGATGAATGGTGGCTAGAAGGTCTTTGTTGTGGATGACTGACAGACAAACAACAGAGAACAAACAAAAAAATAAGCTCACACTGATGTGACGATATTCACTACCACACAGAGTAAAATGAAACACAAGGCACAAAACCCCACAGAACAAATGGATATATTTGTATAGGAAATGCACATTACCTGCTGCCTTTCATGTTGAGAGGAGACAGAGTTTCAGATCATGTTATGCAGGATCTCATACAGTACTGTGAGACTAATTATAATGATTAAAAAATAGTGATCTTTTTCCAGGCAGGTTAGGGCTGTTTTGACTGAGTTATGAGCTCGACACATGGAACATGACATCGCTCTCTCTCAATTAGTGGTGGCTGGTCAATAGGG